ATGCATTAATTTCAATGAAGCTCTTATGTTATTGTTGATATGTAAATAAATATAAGAAATTTTCAATTTTCGTGGTGAAATTTACAGCAAGGAGTCGAGATATTCGTTTTTGCCGTACGTCGATGAAAAAAGGATCGGGAGTGCACGACTGTCTGTTATAAAACTGTCCACAAGTACCTGTGCTCTCTAAATCTTGTAAAATGTTATGTATGATGTCAATTAAATTTATATGCAAATACCGAGAAAAATCATGTGGGTGCATAGCTGTATTTTGACTTTTCCCCACTGCCCTTAGATGAGAAATTCATGAAAAACCTTCAACGTCTCTTATACACAGTCTACCCTACTATTCACACATTTCACGCACCAGTGACCACAGCAGGCTTTATGCGGGGTTTTGTCCACGTGAACTGAACTCATTCACTTGATATTGGACTTTGGCGAGATTACACTGCGATTTACAGAGCTTATACACACAGATTTTCCTGGATTTTTCGTGTTATCTACGAGGATGGATTTCACGGATGACGGTTTTGTAGGGCAGCCGACGAGAGGATTGAGGTAAAAAAAAAAAAGAAATGCTAGAATTTTTTTAGCTGAACATTAGGCCTAAAGTGAAACCAACATGGCCAAGTCACAGAACCAATGCATGCCTTGTAAACATTTATCAAATTACAATGTAGGTAGCACAATGAACTGATATACATCATCTTTAAGATTCTTGCAGGTATCTGGGGATGTGGGTATTGTCAGGGGGTGGGGGTTGAGATTGGTGGCACCCCCCTCCCCCCCAAAAAAAAAAGTTTGAAAAGGAGTTTACTCATCATTAGCTCATTACTAGCTCACAAAAGCCAAAGGCTCAAAAAAGCTTTTCTGATCACATTTTGTCAAGCATCTGTCTAGTTGTCTGTTTGTCTGTAGACTTTTTTAAAATACACACTTTAAAATCCTCAAGATCCACACACTGGATCATTTTCACTCAAACTCGGTACGATTAAAGCTGAAAACTACTCGTAAATAGGCATAGTCGCCATATTTCTCGTTCTTCAAGTTCCCTACAATCGTATATAGCAAATCGCTAGTCAGTTCAATGTATTTTAAAGAGCCAAAGGTACATCTTACAAAAAACTTTATCTGAAATTATCAAATTTTGTATTTTTTAAAGCCTAAACAGGACAAAAGTATCATGAAAATTACAGGTCAATACTTTATTTACAAACAGAAAATGCACATAAAAACAAGAAGTAAACGCAAAAAATCTAAATCCACTATAGGAATACTACATGTCGGCCACGAGTTTTGAGTGTGCAATCGGACACTAAAGCGAACGGTTTATATACCCGTCTGACTGTGCCTATTTATGAGAAGTGTTCAGCTTTAAGTATCCGTTGGGATTCATGTTTGTCTATATGAACAATGATGAAGGGACAAACCTTTTTCCAAGGAAAGAAATTTAAAAAAATGTGGAAAATTAATCTGCTAATATCATCTTTCAAAATATCAACCAAAAAAAAAAACTTGTGTGGGTCTTTCAAAAATGTTCTTCTCAAGAATAATATATTTGGTCATATTTAATGCTTAAAGGCATCTTATGGTAGTGTAAATTCTAGTTTGTTCAAATAATCAGACGTACATGTAATTATAATTTTACATACCAAGGATTATATCTATAGGAAAAATCTTTAAAAGTCTACCGTATATACTCACCTATAAGTCGGTCCGCCTATAAGTAGGTTGTACTTAATAAGCTTATATTTCAGATGGACTGACCTCATATAAAACCATTATTTTTATAGATCGCATATAAGTCGGACACAGAGTTTAGGACCAGATATCAACTCCCAAAAAACCGACTTATAGGCGAGTATATACGGTACTTTGGAACAACTAATCTAAGGTTGTGTAGATTCAAGTTTGTTGAAATCATGACCCTTCTGGGAATAGTTTGTGATCAAAGTTTTACACAAGATTATAAATATGTCCGACAAATCTTTAAAAAACTTCTGTTCGAAGACAACAAAGTAAACATTTGGATACATTTTTGACTTTTTTGTCCCCTGGTTTCGCGAAAGCGAGGGAACATTAAATCTCATTGCCCTGTCCATCAGTCTGTCCAGCTGTCCGTCTGTCAGTCCGTCACAAAGACTTTAACCTTGCCCATAACTTTTGATTTAGTGGAACTATGACTTTCATATGTCACATGTGTATTCCTAGTGATAAGACCTTTCTTTGGGTACCACCAAATTTGACCTTTGACCCTGACCCTTGAGTTTGACCCATTTTTACACAAAAATTCCAAACTTTTACTTTGGCCATAACTTCTTAATGGTAGATATAAGGACTTTCATATTACACATGTACTTTTATATTCTTTGTGAAAGACCTTTCATTGGATACCAACAACTTGACCTTTTGACCTTGACCTTGGAATTTAACCTACTTTTCAAAAACTTTTACCTTGGCCATATCTTTTGAACAGTGGATACAGGGACTTTTATACTTTTTATCTGTATTTTTTGTTGAAAGCCCATTCATTGGATACCAACAACTTTGACTTTTTGACCTTGGAGATTTCTGTACTCATAAAAAAACTTTAACCTTGACCATTACTTTTGAACGTTAAGGGCTTGGGCTTTCATACTTTACATATGTAATCCATATGAAAAGACTTTTCATTAGATACCAAGAACTTAAGCCCCTTGACCTTGACGTTCAGTGATATTTTTTAAACAGAGGACATATGACAGGGTGTTCATATTACACACAATATATGTCATAAAAAATGACATCTCACCCACAAAGACACCAAAAGCGATGGGACCACAATTCCTTGAATTTGCTTGTTAAGTTCATGCTTGTAATGTACCCTGTTGTCAATATTGTTCAATGTTGGTGAATATAAATTGACATCTGACTCGCGATCAGTTTACCCTTTATGAGATATATCACTGGTCAAGATACTGTAAAATCAAATATTTCCGTGATTCGAGAAAAAAATGATTTTTCATGGGGGATTTCAGGGCTCTCGATTCTATAAATCTGGGGCCGATATTCGGCCCCGTTCCCAATGCAAAAACGGTACCTTTTTTCCCAAAAGAAAGGTGTAAATTTCCCAATTTTTATAGCAAAATAATTATTAAAAAAAATGAAAGTCCATGAAACTGAATCGCAAAAAAACTAACAAACAAAACACATTTGCAAATGAAAGTGAAACCGTACCACTATTTCATTAGTTCGCACCAAATGCATTGGTAAACTGGTTCGGGGAACCATGTTATTGTTTTTACAAAAATGTATACTAACTAGGAGTGCAGAGTATCTTGTCATGTAGTTTCGACAAAAAGACATCATTTTGGTTTCAAAAAGAGACATTTCATTTAAACATTAGTAAGCTACACCTAGAAACAATCCCAGGCTTCTGCTAGTGCAGTATCGCGCTGTATTGGTAAGCGAAGTTGTCCATGTGATCGAGGAAATTCGGGACGATGTGATTGGCGACTGCTTGTCACCCAGAAGACATAACAGTAATCATCAACACTCAATGTACTTTCTTAAATACTATAGCCTACGTATCCATGTTTGTTCTGTTTAACTGTTTATTCAAAACCATAGTTAAATTGATGAGAAAATGCTAGAGAAGCTAAATTTGAGGATTTTTTAAAATGAATTTTGGTTAATATCCAACTTTTCCCAAAATGACGATAATTTTCCCAATTTGAACGGCCCCGGCCCCAGTCCCATAAAGTGGTGTGAGAGCCCTGGATTTGATCTCATGGATGAAGAACTTTTTAGTAGTTGTGCATATGAAAATTTACATTTTGTTGTGGGCATGAAAATTAGTGAAGTTCCGTTTCTCTCTCTTATAAATGGTGAAAGATCAACAGTGCTGTTCTGTATATCAGGTAAGCTGTACCAGGTGTCATATTTAAACATTCAGTCATAACAGACCAGGTATTAACAGTGCAAAAAATGAAAATTTTTATTTTGGATTTAAATATCATAAATCTGCATCAGGACACTTATAAAGAAATAACTTTTGGTTGACAAGTTTTTCTGTAAGGCCATTTTTTAGAGATTGATTTACCTCGGAAGTTCCTCAACTTATTGGGGATCAATCTTACAAACTATAGGATTGCATGAAAACTTGCTTGCCAAAAGTTATTCAAATTTAGGTGCCCTGATGCGGATTTATGAAATTTAAATCCAAAATAAAAATTTTCATTTTTTGCACTGTAAATGTATAGCCCATTTGGGATATTCTAACCCAAACGGCCTATTATATCCCATTTGGGCGAGTGGTCCCAACCTGTTAAATATCAGTGTCATTTTGAAAAAAAATATTAATTGAAACCAGGTTAAAACATCAATGAATTTACTTGAATCTGTCACCAGATTTTGGCAAAAATTTGTACCGACTTAAAAGCGGGTCAATAGCATCTCCCACCAAAATAACATCAAAAAATACAACGTACTGACTTATAGGCGGACTGACTTATAGGCGAGTATATACGGTATCTTCATTTTAAACAATGTAAACCTACTGTGATGAAAAAGGGGAAAGACCTCAAAAAAGGTAGCAATGAAATATGACCTCAAGAGATAAGTTGAACATGAATTTTAGGACCATAATTATTGTACTCAATATTCATTTCCCAATTTCAGCTGTTCATTCTGCATTTCTTACTCCCCGTTCAGCTGTTCATTCTATATTAATTTTCCTATTCTCCTTTCAGCTGTTCATTCTATATTAATTTTCCTATTCTCCTTTCAGCTGTTCTTCAGAGATGGACGACCTGGATAGGACGATCCTGATTGACATCATGTGGAGGGATGCACTTGGGTAAGTCATATTTTTACTTCATTGTAGTTCATTGAAATAACAAAAACATTTTTCTTAAAATAAATTGACTTCAAAAATGTAAGCATAAGTGGTGGTCATTTTAAGAAAGTTAAACTTAATTTCATACCATTCTAAAAGCTTATTACCAGATATAATTTGTATCTTAGTGAGTGCCTAAACTAAATTTAAGGTCATATGCAACATACACATGCATAGTTTTCAAGAACTTTATTGGGTTCTTCCCTGGACATGCTGGAGACTTGAAGAGTTCCACTAAATGAAAGACTTGTGTGCAATACTTTTAATGTCTATGAGAGGTGTTCAAAAAGTTTGTGATTATCTTTATTTATACAAAACCACAATTCAGATAAGAATAAATTAGGTACACTCATAGCCATACAAAAAAATCTATAAATAGCACATGCTGGAAAATTTACTTACCTGGTCGTTGGTTATTTGCAAAATTATTTTGTTAAAAACACATTCTGATTGCACATACAGGTACTCTGAAGTTAACATCAAAGAGGTGCTTGAGTTTCTGATTGACAATATCTATGTGGTTTTTGGAGACAGGTATTCCAACAATCTATTGGAATTCCCATGGGTACCAATTGCGCTCACCTCCGATATTAGCAGACCTATTTTTATATTGTTCATATGAAGCATAATTTGTGCAAAATCTTATGAGTGAAAAGAAGAAAACACTTGCTTTGGCCTTGAACTTGACATTTAGATATATCGACGACATATTGTCAATTAACAAAGGTAATTTCCATACCTAGGTTGATACCATATATATTTGGTGAGCCATAGTTATGAAGAGCAAGAGTGCCTCTACCAAACAGAGTTCTTGAAATCTTTTTTTTTCACCATGTTCACTGTCAGTCATTTGGACCGACTGCCATGTGAAGTTTGTCAGTCCAGACAGATTTCTATCAGTCCAAAATAAATTTAATAAAAACATGAAAAAAAACTGTATTTAAATTTTATTATCAATAAACACTGTGTCTATATGAACAATGCACACTTTTAAACCTAGAAAACTGTTTTAACAGTAAACCAATAGTTTGGAGCAAGTTAGAATAATCTGTATCTCGGAACAAGTCCTCATAACAGATATACTCGCTATGTAGCAAATACTAGTAGTTACAGAATTGCTCCGAAACAAATTTGAAGTATAGGAAAGGATATGCACTGGAAATAACTTCAAAATTAATTACAACAAACCTATTTTTTAGGTCGCGTATGTCTTTAAACCTAAATTATTAACCAAATAAAGACGATAATTCAACTAATTTTCTTTACCTTTTTTCTCGCTTCTTACAAGCCATGTTTGCATTCGGAACTCTCTGGAATCTTCGTAGTAAATGTACTCAGTTTGAGTCATTGCCAGTGTATATTTTGCAACATAGTGAATATACGGAACAAAGTCTTTTATTAAACCGGTCCATAGGACATTTATCATTTTAGCGATAGAACATTGTCTCTAAATTTGCACTCGTGTTAATCAAGAAGCCATTACAACATGCAGAAAAAGAGTTTGAAAGATAATGATCGATCGATTATGGGGAATTTGTACGAAATTAAGTCAGATTTTCGCAAGTTCTCTGTCAACACCGTCCGGTCATTTGGACTGACACAGAATGGAAAGTAATCGATCCTTGGTTGTTTCTATCGGTTTTGCTGACAGGACCGCAAGATTTCAAGAACTCTGACCAAATTTATGAATTTCATGGCCCCTTGGTCAGGGGTTTTGCCATTTGGTGTGATGGGGAGGCTTTTTAGCTCACCCGAGCTGAAAGCTAAAGTGAGCTTTTCTGATCGAATTTTGTCCAGCGTCTATCTGTCTGTCTGTCCGTCTGTCTGTAAGTCTGTCTGTCTGTAAACTTTTCACAATTTCAACTTCTTCTCAAGAACCGCTGAGCCAATTACAACCAAACTTGCCACAAAGTATCCTTGGGTAAAGGGGATTCAGGTTTTTACAACTGAGGGCCACACACTCATTCAAGGGGAGATAATTGGGAATTAATGAAAATTTGGTGACATTTTTAAAAAATCTTCTTCTCAAGAAACCCTGTGCCAGGAAGGATGAAACTTATGGGAAAACATCCTCAGGTAGTGTAGATTCAAGTTTATTCAAATCATGACCCCCAGGGGTAGGGCGGGGCCAAAATGGCCGACCAAAGTTTTACTTAGAAATATATATTAGGAAAATTCTTTAAAAATCTTCTTCTCAAATGACAAAGCTATAATTCAATATATTTTTATGGAAGCATGTTAAGGTAGTGTAGATTCAAATTTGTTCAAATCCTGACCCCCAGGGGTAGGGCGGGGCCAAAATGGCCGACCAAAGTTTTACTTTGAAATATATAGGAAAAATCTTTAAAAAATCTTCTTCTCAAGAAAGACAAATCCATAATTCAATATATTTTTATGGAATCATGTTCAAGTAGTGTAGATTCAAATTTGTTCAAATCATTATCCCCGGGGGTAGGGCGGGGCCAAAATGGCCGACCAAAGTTTTACTTAAGGAATGAAGCTAATTTCAACTTATGTTATCCGATATAACATAACTTGGGGCAGTTTACGCTTTATAAACCGTGAAGCGGTTTATAAAAAAGCGTAAACTGACCCAAGTTTTGTTATGTCGGATAACATAAGTTGAAATTAGCTTCATTCCTTATAATTTAATTCCAGTGTAGAAAATGAGACAATATTTCCTCAGGAAAAAGACTTCAAATTGAGCGTTATTTTAAAAGTAACGTCAAGCATAGTAATATATTTTTGACGTAACTCATTGTGACGTAAGCAAGTTATGTTATCCAAAATATTATATGTTCCTCTGAATGATTCAGCCAATCAAAGTGCTTGAATCAAGTGAAATAAAATTATATAGAAATATATAGGAAAATTCTTTAAAAATCTTCTTCTCAAAAATGACAGAGCCATAATTCATCATATTTATATGGAAGCGTGCTCAAGTAGTGTAGATTCAGATTCATTTAAATCATGACCCCCAGGGGTAGCTAGGGTGGGGCCAAAATGGCCGACCAAGGTTTTAAAGATATATATATGAAAATTCTTCAAAAATTATTTTCTAAAAAATAGCAAATTCATGATTGGTCATGGGACTACTTATGGATTTAAATTTTACAATAACAAGTAGGGCTGGGCAATATATCGATATTTCAATATATTGCAAAACAATGACAAAAAATATCGAATCGCAATACAATTTTGTAATTGATATATTGGCAATATCCAGAGATTAAGGAATTTTGTCATTTAATATAAAAATGGACTGAAAGTTTGTTATTAAGCCAAACTGTAAGTCAGAAGTTGTTTTATGGGAACATTTCAGAGCATATCTTAAATAAAATCAACAAGATTTTTTTTTTCCATATTGGTTACTTATCATAGTTATGTAAATTCTGTAAATTAAAGTAAATATAGTAAGAAAATGTCATTTTTATTACATTGAATATATTGCAATACATATCGCAATACAATTAAAAATATCGCAATACGAAATCTTGGGCCTTTAACCAGCCTTAATAACAAGCCATTTTCTTCTTTTTCCTACCCTTAGTGCCCAGGTGAGCAATGTGGCCCATGGGCCTCTTGTTATTATATAGCATGATTTAGTAAAAAATATTTATTCTTAAAAAAACGTTTTTCTTTTCTCTTATGTATTATGCGAATGATCATATGCCCTGCCCACACGGAGAGTTTAAATTAAACGCATTAGTTTATTGCGAATTAGCTTCGCTTGGCGTTCACACGGAGAATCTAATGCAAATTAGTTTACTTCGCGTAACTTTACTGCGCATTAAATTACTTAGCATTAGCTCCTTGTGAATGCTAAGCGAAGCTAATTCAAATTAAATTTTTGGGCATGCAAAATGGCAAAATGAAGTCAAATGCGTCTTGTTGGTGGTCATGCAGCTTTAAGTACTTGTGCTATTTTTGAGTGAAAAACTAAGAAAAAATGTATTAATAACAAGAATATGTCTCCAGACACTGTGACATCATATCAAATGCATGTGCTTCAGTATAAAGTGATTTGACTTGTAAATGACGTCATAATAGCCTTCCTCAACTTGACTGTCAAAGTAAAAGTTTAATTCGCATTGGTTTACTTTGCATTAGATGTCGTGTGAACCAATTTAACTCGCATTAGTTTGATTCACATTAGTTACTTCGCATTAATTTACTGCAAATTAAACTTTTTGAGTGAACAGGCGTAAAATGATTACTTTAATGCCCCTGGCTCAGGGTCAAGTTCTGTTTTGGGTACCATTGCATCCTTTTTGCTAGAGTTATGCCCCTTGGACTTAGAAAAATTCCACTTATTTGCAGTTTCCAATTTCATTTTCTTTGCGGAGGTTGCACATCTTGAAACGAAATTTAGTAGGGATGTCAACGTGTACCCGGTTAACCAGGTACTAGATCGAACGTCCGAGTATCGAATACTAAAATCGGTACTCGGTTACTCGGATGTATATTTTTTAATGTTTCTTAGCTAATTTATTAATGCATCAAACAATCTGTTTTAAAATGTAAAATACTCATTGCACTTGTACATACAGTAATTAGGGTTTCCTACTCCTCTAAATGACCGTTATCGCCCCGTGGCAGTGTTTATACAGTAATTATCGTGACCAAGCACTTAATTGTTATCTGGCTTTTTTCACCTTTGGCTGTCTTCTACCCTAATTTTTTTATTAACTTTAATTATTTGTTTTCACTGAACCTCGTTTAAGGTTTATTATGATTAAATAATTAAATTTGATTATCTTGTTAATTTTGTGAGAAGCCGTAAATTCTCGGGAAAAGAAACAGATGATTTTGCCCGCGCATGTTGATTGGTTGTGTTTATTTACCTGCCAATACAAATGGTTGAAGCCAAAGGCTTAAAAAAAAATGATGTCCATCATTGCATAAAGCTACAAAATACCGTCCCATAATACTAGAAAATCTAGGACCAAAAAGGGTACTAAAACCGTAAATCTGCTTTGTTAGGGGAACTTGATCAAGTTCAAGTTAAACTGTACGACTGATACCGGGACGTCAAACGCAACAAAGAGTTACATTACAATATACCGAGCATATTAATTTTTTAAACAAAAACTCTGTAAACCCCTAATGATTTTATTTCTTGTGTTTATCTGATAAATAAATTGAACATAAACGATGTTATAGTAAATTTCATCGGGCACGAAGTGTCTGTCATTTTTACATAAGAAATACACTAACAGGTAAACCTACTATCAGAGAATGTGGTTTTATTTCTACAAGAGTTTACAATGTATTATATTCATCAATTTACTTGTTCGTATTTATTTAAACTTTTACCGAGTACCTGGGTACTCGATCCGAAAAACGTCCGAGTAACCCAGTATTAAAAATCGACCGATTTGACATCCCTTAAATTTAGTATAGAGAATTTTCAGCTGAATAACTAGGTCAAGAAATGTTTTGTGTAGGATCGGACCATTTTAGACAGAGTTATGCCCCTTTGGACTTGGAAAAATTCCAATTTGGGGGGAGGGGACATAAGTGTTTAACAAACATATCTCTTGTTAATTTTATAGCTTATGACAAGCTTTTGACCCAGATTCCCAAAATGAAATCGACGTCCAAATTTCCAGATTTTCGGTATTACTTTATGTTCAACAGTCATTTTACCTGAAATCATACTTCAAATCACACATTTATCAGTATTATTTTCTAAGTCTAGATTTAAAGAAACCAACTTTCTTTATTTTCTTGATTTAGCTCACCTGAGCAAACAAAAATTTAAATGCTTATTTGATTCAAACCTTATTTTCTCAAGCTTGAACGGATCATGAAAATCTTAAAGAATAATTCCAGGATTTGAGATATCCAGCGTAAACTACTTATAGAATAGGGCAACCTGGGACTTCAATGTCACCTTGACATATCCACTGTATCTTAGATATGGGTGTGTGAGATAATGAGGTTGTACTGTTATCTGTTTTTCAGTATTCCTTCGAGTAAGAGGAGCCCATCACCTTGACATATCCATTGTATTTGAGATATGGGTGTGTGAGATAATGAGGTTGTACTGTTATCTGTTTTTCAGTATTGCTTCGAGGAGGAGGAGCCCTTCTGAGGAGGACCAGCTTTTTGAGGAAATGTTGGAAGAGGGACCACGGTAAGTAAAAATTTTGTGATTCAGTACATATTGATTGAATGAAAACTCAATTTTTTATTTCTTTTTAAGAGATATGTATTCGAAAAAAAGCATAGGCATTCAATTAGCTGTCAATTTGTGAATATTTCCATTTCTATTTGTTTTCTCTTTGATAACTCTTAGTTAATGGAGTTGATTTCTTGATAATTCTACTGTAATGTAAATTAGGCAAATCAATTGGTAAGTAGCCAAGGAGGCCTTATACACAAGTAAATCTCGTGCGCCTCTTTGTTTGTGTCTGCATGACACTACGCAGGCCACATATGCATGTAAATTTTGTGCAGCTGTCTTTATGTTTGACGCTAGTGGACGAGGACTAATTGAAATTTACATACACTCAGCGTCGGCATCCCAGGTTAAGGTTCAATTTTTTGAAGCAGTTTTCTTTTTAAGTACTTCTGTGTCCTATAGTCATTAGACATGCATGGAAGATGCTTCTAAACTGCTTAAATGTACCAGTCAAAGTTTCAGATGCTGCAATTTTAGCAAAGGAATGACCAGGTTAATTGTTTAATAAAGTTTATGGAAATTCAGCATAATTGTGTTAATTTTTAGCAGAAAGATGAGTATCGGGTACATAATTCTATACCTGTTTTAAACAAGAAGTGATATTACTGTGTGAGAACTGGGCAATTATCATGTTATTTGTTCATGTCCTTCCTTCTGTCTTTATAACCAACCTTTCAAATCTGGCTCAAATATTAAAATTAAAATATGAAGTGTAAACTAGATAGAGTAATACATTTTTTTCCCTTCAACTATTAGAACTGTTTCCAATTTTTAAAACATGCATGTTTATCACATGCCATGCTGCACCAATATGTGAAGATGTGAATATGTGAAAGATGCAAAAAATTCTTTGTATACAGAAATATACAAGGACAAGAACTTTCTTTTTATCAAATTGCCTTATTTCAAAATTGCCCACAGGCAACAAGAGAAATAAAACAATGACAGAGTTTGACCCTTGTGATTGTAGGGATGAGGAGAGGCTTCGTTTGGTACAGGAGAGCGTGCGGGCGGCCGAGGAGGAGCTGCGGCTACTGAGAGAGGAGACCGAGGTAAACAGTAACTGTCTATCACAGCTCGTGTCCCGTGTACAAAAATAGTTTACGTTTCACAGGTGTACTGTAGATCACTACTGAGAGAGGAGACGGAGGTAAACAGTAACAGTTTATCACAGCTCGTGCCCCGTGTACAAAAATAGTTTGTATTTTTATGAGAATAAATTATGTGAAATTCATAAGCACTACGGTGAGATTTTTTGATTAACCATTTACCTGGTACATAGTTTATTTTAGATTAGATCATATGCCTTTGCGTCAACGTGATTTTGTTAATAAGAATTATTACCTTGAATGGGAGAGAGGACTCATTTATAAAGGCGAACGGATTGTAGTTCCTGTAGAAATACGCAGTCACCTTCTTGAGAGGATCCACAATTCTCACATAGGAATTAAAGGATGCTTACGAAGTCATCACAGTCATCAGGAGAAAATTGATGAAGTAATCAAAGCTATGGAAGAGTTTTGTGTAGGACAGACCAATGAAATATTTGAACGTTACACTTTTAACAAGCGAGACAAAGAACCAAATGAGAATATTGATGCTTACATAGCCGTGTTGAGAACTTTAGCCAAAACATGCAAGTATGAAGCGCTTGAGGATGAAATGATACATGAAATATTTGAACGTGAAGAATTGTGGATCCTCTCAAGAAGGTGACTGCGTATTTCTACAGGAACTACAATCCGTTCGCCTTTATAAATGAGTCCATTTTGAACAACAAGTTCCTCACGAAATGGAAAATCCAGTGGCTATTTCATAATTTTTTCCACATCAGGACAGAAGATGGACGAGAATACCGCCGAAACAGACGACATTTGAGGACGAGCAAAGAAACGTATACTAGAGAGTTATATCCACGTCGAGTTGGAATTCTGTGACTAATCATTGGTTCCTTCACTTGGTCATTTGCATACATGTTGCAAGCTTCACATTTACTTATGAACATAACATGGCTGGTTGTAAGATTTGATACATGACTGTATCATTATCAATTCGTGGGTATTTGTTATTAAAATGTAGAACCACGTGTTGAGTGCTAAATCTAATTTATTCAGAACGAGACAACATGGTAACACAATAGGTCGTACATAAGATTATTCGTATTTGATTAACTCGTATTTTTATGCATATGTTACATCTCCCTTCTTTAGCTAAATTTATACATTAATCAAATCCATAAAATCAATCAAGTCCTTTCAGTTCAATAAAGTCAATGGTATGATTTAGAATAATCTAGCACTCATTTCATACATGAAATAAAACAATAACTGACTAGATATTTAAGAAAAACTTTGACTAGAAAATTGACTAGAAATTGAACATGCAACACAACCTAAAACTAAGTAAACATATTTATATGAACCAGGTTTCAACCTAGTAACACACAGATAAGGGATTATTATGCCCTTAGACACAATCTGTGTGACCTAACAAAATCAAAACACATCAGGATCATTCTAAGAATCGTTTTGGTGTTTTCACAACTCTACCACTCCTGGTTGTAACAACGGATGGATCAGCTTGAATTAGCTTGGGTTTGTCACGAGTTGTATTCGGTCCATGAACAGGTCGAATGGGCTTCACAGGAGACTTCAGTAAAGGATCGGGGTCAGCTGTTCTTGGTTTCTCAGGTTCCTTCATGTGTGACGAGCCAGTGTTCATAGTGTTTGGATAAGGCTCTGAGTTAATCTCTGATCTTGGCATAGGAGATAACTCTCTAGTATACGTTTCTTTGCTTGTCCTCAAATGTCGTCTGTTTCGGCGGTATTCTCGTCCATCTTCTGTCCTGATGTTATACGAACGAATGTCTACTTGTCCTTGTACAATAGCTTTTTTCCAAGATTTCTCATTTCCTTTTGGTCGTACGCGAACTACATCTCCTTCATGTAACGGTGACATTTCTTTGGCTCCTTTGTTGTAATAATGCGTTTCTCTTCCCTTTCTATAGCGAAGCTGTTCCTTGACTTTATCAGCATACCGGGGTTTGAGCATGTTTTCGGAGACAGGTAATAAAGTCTTTGTTCTCCTCCCAAAGATCCTCTGTACAGCAGAATATCCAATATCCTGGCTAGGTGTGTTTCTAAGGTCTAATAATGCTAGGTATGGATCCTTCTGATCAGCAACACTTTTGTTTATCAGGCGTTTTATGATCTTCACAGCATTCTCGGCTTTACCGTTGGATTGCGCATAATTCGGTGAAGACGTTACGTGGTTGAATTCATATGTTCTCGAGAATTCAGCAAATTCCTGACCATTAAATGGTGGTCCATTGTCTGAGACTAGAGTGTCTGGTATCCCATGTCTTGCAAGGTGAGCTTTCAGTTTGCTGATTATGGTGCTACCAGTTTTACTGTGTAGACGGTCAACCTCAAAGTAGTCAGAGTAGTAGTCTACTGTAATCAAGTAGTCTTTGTTTTGGCACTCGAATAAGTCACACGCAATGACTTGCCAAGGTCGAGTTGGAATTCTGTGACTAATCATTGGTTCCTTCACTTGGTCATTTGCATACATGTTGCAAGCTTCACATTTACTTATGAACAGTTCAATGTCTTTAGCCATATTTGGCCAGTAAAGGCTTTCTTTTGCTCTTCGTAAGCATCCTTGAATTCCTATGTGAGAATTGTGGATCCTCTCAAGAAGGTGACTGCGTATTTCTACAGGAACTACAATCCGTTCGCCTTTATAAATGAGTCCATTTTGAACAACAAGTTCCTCACGAAATGGAAAATAAGTCTGAATTTCTGTATGAACTTCTGCTCTCGTCTCAGGCCATCCAGACTTAATCACTCCTTTCAGCATATCCATAGTTTCATCTCTTTCTGTTGCCTTTCTGATTTCTGCAATGCGCTGCTCCGACACTGGTAGATACTCCTTATAATCTACATTGTGTACTTCCACAGGGTCCTTTTCTTCAAGGTCCTCTGGCTGAGCTTTAAGATATGCTCTGGATAAAGTATCAGCAAAGTACATTTCAGTACCTCTTTTGTAGAGTACTTCATAGTCAAATTTTTGAAGTCTCAGCAACATTCTTTGTAGTCTCTTTGGTGCACTGTGTAGATTCTTCTTGTGTATTATCTCAAGTGGCTTATGATCAGATTCTACAAGAACGTGTCTACCATAAGTATAATTCTCAAATCTTTCCATTCCGAAGACAACCGCGAGTAGCTCCTTTTCAATCTGAGCGTAATTGCATTCAGTCTCTGTTAGTGATCTTGAAGCATACATTATTGGGTGTCCCTCTTGAAGTAGGCAAGCTCCAAGGCCCGATTCGGATGCATCACACTGTAAAACTAGCTCCTTGTGTTCATCAAAGAATCTCAACACTGGAGTGTTCGACAAAACAGTTTTCACATCCTTGAATGCTTTACCATGGATATCTTCATCCCATCTGAAATGTGTGTCAGATTTAAGAAGGCTTCTTAAAGGTGCCGTAATTTCAGACAGCTGTGGCGCAAATCGTTGAACGAAGTTTGTCATCCCTAGAAGTCTCTGCACTCCCTGTCTGTCCTGGGGAGTTGGCATCTCTCGTATTGCTTTAACTTTCTGGGGATCTATGCACAGGCCATTTTTAGAAATGACAAATCCTAAGTAAGTGACAGAGTCTACTTTCAGTTTCATTTTCTCCTTGTTCAGTTTAATGTTTCTCTCTAAACATCTCTGTAGCAAGGCTTCCATCTTGCGGTCATGGTCTTCATGAGCCTCCTTGTCATTGTCTCCACATCCATAGATCAAGATGTCATCATGAATAGGTTTGATGCCGTCAAGTCCTTCTAACGCCTCTTCCATGCGTCTCTGGAACTCCTCGGGAGCAGGTGATATCCCGAATGGCATTCTCAACCATCTGTATCTTCCCCACGGTGTTGAAAATGTGGTAAGATAGCTGCTCTGTTCATCCATAACAACATGCCAGAATCCGTCTCGTGCGTCAACTACAGAGAAAATGCGTGCCTTGCCTAAATCTGGAAGTATGTCCTCAATTAGCGGAGTAGGGTAATGGTTTCGTTTAAGAGCCTGATTCAGTGGTCTTGGATCAATACACAACCGAATCCGTCCATTTGATTTAGGTGCTACAACTAGACTTGAGATCCAATCAGTAGGAGTATTCACAGGTTTGATGATCTGTAACTGTTCTAGTCTATCTAGTTCTTGTTTCAGTTTGTCTTTGATAGCGATTGGCACTTTTCTTGCTGGCATTTTCACCGGTTTCACATTTTGGTCTACTTCCAATGTCAGTTTTCCATCTAGTTTGCCTTGTCCTTCAAACACTGATTTGAATTTGGTCTCCATCTCCTGTTGAATGTCTACAATTTCTGCTACTACTTCTTCCCGCACCTCTTGTTTGGAAAGGAACTCCTTATGGTTTACTGTGATGAGGTCCATTGCTTGGATAGCTTTGATCCCTAGAATTGCATGAAGCTGTTTGCCCTCAACAATCTCAAATTCCAAGTTGTACTTTTTCTGATTTCTCGGATTTCTTACACTCAAACGCACTTTTCCTAGAGTCTTTGTTTCACTTTTGTTGAACATAATAAGTGTCACATTGGATTTTTTCAATTTGTTTCCATCTGGGTCATCACAAAGTTTGGTGTAAATGTGATGTGGTAGGATATTAACAGTTGATCCATTGTCGAGTTGAAATTCAACAAGTTTTTTATTTATGTTCATCACTGCTGTTATTTTCCGAGATCCTATTTCATTCACGTGCCCTACTGTCAGAACAAATTCTTCTTCTGATGAGTCATCTGAGTCAAAAGCTTGGCTTGCGCGCACTTCATGGACATGCTTTTGTCGACTCCGAACTTTCGTGGCTTTACACATTTTGGCAAAATGGTTAGATTTTCCACAGTTCTTGCACATAGCTCCATACGCTGGACATTTCTCCTTCCTTGGTGCATGTTTATTTCCGCAATACTTGCACGACAGAAATTGATCAGTCTCATATTTTCCTGATGCTCCTTCAAGTGCCTTATGTCTCTTTTCATTCTTACTTGGAAGTTTCCCTTTCTGTGACCTGCCTTTCACAACTTGTACATCCTCAATGTTTCTTAATTGTGATGCTGTTTTCTCATTGGCTCTGCAAATGTCTATGCATCTCGGTAAGTCTAACTTCTTTTCTTGTAAGAGCTTCTTCCTTGTGTTGTTCTCGCGAATGCCTAACACAATCCGGTCACGTATCATTTCATCCTCAAGCGCTTCATACTTGCATGTTTTGGCTAAAGTTCTCAACACGGCTATGTAAGCATCAATAGTCTCATTTGGTTCTTGGTCTCGCTTGTTAAAAGTGTAACGTTCAAATATTTCATTGGTCTGTCCTACACAAAACTCTTCCATAGCTTTGATTACTTCATCAATTTTCTCCTTATCACCAGCATTTTGAAACTTTAACCCGTCAAACACACGCAGTGCATCTGATCCCATACACGTTAGGAAAGTGGCGCAACGCAACTTATCATCCTTCTCGTGCAGTCCAGTGGCTATTTCATAATTTTTCCACACTGTCTTGAAGTGTTTCCAATTATAGGCCAAATCTCCTTTCAAATCCAGTGCTCTGGGGAAAGGAATGTTCAGTACAATGGGGTTAGAGTTCAAAATAATGTTGTTTTGAGCTTCGTCGTCGCTCGGCATTGTGAAAAGTTCGAATTTTCTCGAAGTCACAAACAATTTGTTGTATGCACTATGGAGAATTCTCGGATTGTCTCACCCTTCGCTCTCGTAGAATGGTCAGTCAATCTATCATATAATTACTCACTTCTGACACCATGTATCATTATCAATTCGTGGGTATTTGTTATTAAAATGTAGAACCACGTGTTGAGTGCTAAATCTAATTTATTCAGAACGAGACAACATGGTAACACAATAGGTCGTACATAAGATTATTCGTATTTGATTAACTCGTACTTTTATGCATATGTTACAACTTATAATTTATTTTCATTTGTTGCATTGAATGAATAAAGACTATATGTATTAATAATATATGTTTTATTTTTCCTCCATAAACTGTCATATATCCTTATAGGCCTAGTCATACATGAGTATTTCAACACAATACCAGACTGATAGATTATTGGTACATTACAATAACTTTTACAAATACTCACTACTGAATAAATCATCTGTTACAATAAATAGAAATTAGAATGTGCATTACTGCTGGTAAAACCGAAATTTAACAAACTCCTTGCTGTTTGTCATATAGGAGGAAACATGAGAAATTGCGTAAAAGCAAGAGTCTAACCGCAACGGAAAATAAAAAGACGGATTGTATTTTCAAAACGTTTGTAATGTTTTATGGGTATTTCAACGCCCACAAACCACATTTTTACTTAATACATTTGAGAATTTGCTTTATTTTTAGCTTTACGATAATTTTTTTTTAACTTAAAAAAAAGATAAACAAGAAACATAGCCAAGTCCCAGGACTTTGGCGAATTCTAAATGCCGAGTCCGGATCCGGAATTTGTTAGTCCGGGACGTCGGGCTTGAGGAATTTTGAACCCCTGGGGTACTAAGTATATATATGAAAATCAATTTGAACTTTCTCTGTACATGAAATATAGAACTTAAGAATTTTATTAGCTCATTTGCATAGAAATATCTATATTTAGCCTTAACTTACTTGCATTTACAATACTGCAGAAGGGCCACACCCTTATTGGGGGGGGGGGTGTTAATTAAGAAATTCTGAAATTTTGTTGGCATGTTTTAAAAATCAGGGGATCTTCTCAGTTAAGAAATAATGTGCCCCAAAAAGTTAAAACTTCTGAGGAAAGGTCTAAGATAGTGTTTAAGATTCAAAATGGACAATCAAAGTTTTACATGTTTTACAAAGGAATATGTTTGGAAAATCTTTAAAAAGTCTTCCTCCCAAACACAACAAAGCCATAATAAGTCATATTTATATAGAAGCTTCCTTAGGCAGTGTAAATTTATGACCCCCTGAGATAGGGTGAGGCCACGATGGAAAGTTAAAATTTTACCCTAAGGAATATTTATTGAGAAAAAAAAATCAATGTCATGTGTACCTAATTATTTTCAAATATATGTCTTAATATATGTAAAATATAAACATTGAAATAAATGAAGCCCTAGCTATAAAATGTTTTTATACTATTTTAGTGTGAGGATGAGGCCCCTCTGATG